TCTCTCTCTCTCTCTTCGAATAAATCTTCTACTAAAGAATTGGGTTGCTACTATGTTCACACTATGAGGAGGAGGAGGTATTCAAATCGTGAGATAGAAAACTGAGGAGGAGATTGAATGCCTACTTAAGAACAAGAAAATTAGCAGACAGGCAGACAGAATTGACCTTCAAGTTATTGGCAATCTGTGGCTGTTCTACTGTCTGCTTCGGTCTGCTACCTCAAGAGAGAGTTCAAATTGTGGACAAGGTTTTTTGGCCAGTTGAGCTGATGCCTCAGGCAGACGTTTGCACAGCGGCGGCAACAAACTGGCCACTCTTTTTCTCTCTTTTCAGCAATCCATCAATCAATGTTTGGACTGGGGGAGAAAAAGAGGAAAATCAATCGATAGAGAGAATTGCTAATTGCCACTAGTGATGGTGGTGGTGGTCAGTCAGAGCAAGAAAAGGAAAATGAGGAGGGGGAAAAACATCAGACTGCTGATGCCAAGCAACAGCACAGACACACTTTCTCTCTCCAATTTTTTGGCCAAACACACGAACACACAAATCTTTGCTGTGGCCAGTTTGAACCAGCTCCCTTTACCTCTCTCCATCCGATTTTTCTCTCTTTCAAATGGCACGATATCGATGCAGCAGCAGCAGCAGCAGCAGCAGAGTAGGCCAATCGATGCGGCATCTGTCTGTGCTTCAGTCTGCGTTTCAGTCTGTCTAATTAGAAGCAGCCTAGAAGTGTCCTAATCGAGTTACATGTCAAAATAGAAGAGATGACTAAACAAATCCCTGACTGACTGACTGTCCGTAACCGATATCCAAACGACGATGAGTGAGGATGTTGACTGTCGTCATCATCATCGTCCGATGTCATCAAAACACACCGAAACATCAAATTTCCAATATGTCAAATGTTCAGTCAGTAGACAGGCAAGTAGACACAATCTTGATGAAAGTGTCACTCTTCGCCTTCTTCTCCTCATCCTCCTCGATCATACGTCTCGAAGAGTGTGGCCTTCGAAGTCAGCAGTTCTCCTCGACAGTCAACTACCCAAAACCAGTACCAGTAAAAATAAAAATGAAAAACGACGCTTCTTTCTGGTCAAATTAAGTACGACAGTCAACAATAAGTAGTAGTCAGGCGCCTGAAGTGTTAGCAACAGCAAAAGAAAAGAAAGAAGAAACTTGTGATGATGAGTTGGCAAGGTTTACGAGTGGTTTTGAGAAAATCCCTGCTGCATTGAACATTGCACATTGCTCAGGCATCCCTCTCTTTACAAATAAGAAGGACACTGCAACAGCAGCAGCCGTAGACATGTGAGAACGGGTGACGCAAGCTGATCAGATGCCAATGGATCGATCAGCCGATCTCTCTCTCTTCCCCACTTTTCATGTCAATTAAAGCTCAATCAGCAGTGCTTCATTCCGACAAAACTTACTGAGGTAGAAGTAGACAAAAATCTGCTGTTGTAGGTGCCTCATGGAGAGAGAGGAAAAAAGAGAAAGAGAACTCCACCTTAATTATCCAGCGTGTAGGAGAGAGGCAGACAGTGCTGGAGGAAACGTGCTGCTGCTGCGGCTGTTCGAAATCGGGATGTGATCGAACCACCATCGTCGAAGAAGAAAAACGATGCAAAAGAGGAGGAGGAGGAGGAAGAGAAAAAGATTAGCCAATGATCAAATGGCAAAGAGTTGAACATCGACAGCTGCTGCGGGTTGCTGCTGAAAAGGCCTCTCCGCCGCATCATCAGGCTTCAGTACGGCGACTGTACAGGAGCAGTAACCACCAATACAGACAATTTTCTCCCCTTTGAAGTTTAACTCAACAAAACCCTTCGATTTTTATTTTGCATACAAGAATACCTCAAGGCAAAAGAATGCTCAGCAGCAAACTCCTAACAACTACGACGACGACTACCAGTTCAGTGGCAGGTCAACTTGGCCAGGCCCTGGTTCGGCTGATGCACAGCGGCGCCAGCGGAGCTCCTTCTCCAGCCACTGGTGAAACTACTTCCAAGCCGACCGCGACAACCATGACGCCCAATCGAGCCTTTCGCAGCTACAACCAGTCCCCAGCAATCAGCAATGCACCGCGGGTGCTCATCACCGGCAGCTTCGGCCAGCTGGGCATCGGCCTGGCGCAGCTGATGAGGTAAGAGAAAGGTAAACAAAAAAGGTCCAAAGCTGTAACAATTTTTACCCCCCGAACTCAGGACTCGCTACGGTCACGACAACGTCATCATGACGGACATCGTCAAGCCACCGACAATGAACGGCGGCGGAGGCGGCCGCTTCGCCTACGTCGACGTCCTCGACGCAGCCAGCCTGCAAGCGGTGGTCGTCGAGAACGGCATCGACTGGATCGTCCACTTCAGCGCCCTGCTCAGCTCAGTCGGTGAGAAGAACGTCCCGCGGGCAATCCAGGTGAACATCGGCGGCCTGCACAACGTCTTCGAGGTGGCGCAGCGCTACAAGCTGCGCCTCTTTGTGCCCAGCACCATTGGCGCCTTTGGGCCGGAGTCGCCGCGGACCGAGGCGACGCCCGACTTTTGCGTCCAGCGGCCAAAGACGATCTACGGCGTGAGCAAGGTGCACGCGGAGCTGCTCGGCGAGGTAAGCGGTTTTTTGGTTCTAGAACCACCAGAAAATGAAGCCCAAACTTGGTTTGTTTACCCTTGTTTCTATTTCTATTTCTATTTCCACCCCTCCCTCTCAACCGCCCACAACCCCCAGTACTACCACTACAAACACGGACTGGACTTTCGGTCGCTGCGCTTCCCGGGCATCATCAGCGCCGACACGGCGCCCGGCGGCGGCACCACCGACTACGCCGTCGACATCTTCCACAAAGCCTGGCGGTCGGGCAGCTACGAGTGCTACCTGCGGCCGGACACCCGCCTCCCGATGATGTACATCGACGACTGCCTCCGCTCGCTGCTGGAGCTGATGGAGGCGCCCGCGGAGCGGCTGACGCAGCGCACCTACAACATCCACGCCATGGACTTCACGCCGGCGGAGCTGGCCGCCGCCATTCGCCGCTACGTGCCCGAGCTCAAGCTCACCTACGCGCCCGACTCGCGCCAGGATATCGGTAAGTGGTGGTGGTGGTAGTGGTTGAAGAGTTTGAGCTAATTTCGAAATCAACTAAACATTTCTGTTCTATTTTTCAGCGGACACCTGGCCGCATGCGCTGAACGACGAGGCGGCCCGCCGTGACTGGAGCTGGGCC